GCGGAAGGTGTCGGAAGCATGTTGTAAATGTCACGTTTTCCGACGGACAATATGCAACTTTCCACAAGATGCGCCTCGTCGGGCGCAGATTAATTGATTTATTGAGTGAATGAAAGGTGTGTGTATGCTGCAGCGGATTAGTGGACACGTTTAATCTCGATACACGCGCGACGCGCTAAATCCTTCAAAGTTATCTCGTTCGAAAAGAATCTGAAAAAAATCAGATTTGATTTAACTAGAAAAATAAAACCTCAGATTGAGTTCAGAAAATCGTCCGATTATATTGGCGAGAAATAAAAATGCAAAAAAAAAAAAAATGGATAAAAATTTTCGAACACTATCGGGATTACTTCCGAATATATATATATTGGAATAATGCGGATTTGAGTTTTCGGATCGATCACGGATATTCGAATATGGAACTTCAGCGCGCGATAGTGTCAACTCGGTTCCGACCCGGATAGAACGTTTGTTTGTCGACGCGTTTGCGACGTCGTCTGACGATCTTTCTGCAACATCGAGCTCCGTCGAATTGCGCACATCCTAGCTGTCGCGTCTCTTTCTGCGTCTCTCTCTTTGCTTCTACAAATCGCAACGGTACATTTATTATACTCCGCTTCATCGCCGATCTCGGAAATTCATCTTGTTCGCCGATTCCGACCATTTCCGCGTCCGCGCGAAAGTTCATGTACGACAGGTACGTGTTCCGTCCTTCGAATCGCTTCTGCTTAAAAAAAAAAAAAAAAACCTGCCTATATATTACACGTCTATGAAGAAAACGCGTAACCAGGATCTAAATTTCAAACGCGCGCGAGTTCTCGCATTACGCCCGTTGGAACGGATTGCACTTTCTAAGCGCAAGAAGTTTCCGCGCGATGGAATTTACGACCGCGAGCGTTCACGCTTGTGTGAAAATCCCGTAGGCGTTACAGAAAACTCTCGCGATTTTCTACGAAATAATCAATGCTTTCGCTGCGAGCGTATGCGCGCGATCGCAAGTAGGAACACCTTTCACAGGTATCAATAACGAGAAACATCGCTCGTTCATACTTCCTGTGTTATCTTTGGTCAGTGATGTCTATGGTATTTACACGTATAGAATTATATTTAATAATATGTAAAAAAAACCGATATGTCGTTATTTTAGAATTTTTTTCCCATCTCTTGGTGAGCCGCGGGTTAACGGGACAAACTTTCTTTTCTTTTTAAGGAGACTTGTCTTGAAATAAAAAAAATTCCGCATCACATCCGCAAAACATCTCGCTGGAAACACGTCACGATTGGCATAAGCGTGTTTCAGATGATAGTGATGTGTATTTGCTACAAGCTTGTAGCTTATTACGTGTAACTGACGTTCGTGCATCTCATTATTACACGGACACGTGGTGGTAAAAGCGGGTCAGGCTGACATCATATGGACAGTACGCGCGCGCAGGTAGATCTTGATAGAGAGCGTCGTTATCGGGTAAATGTCAAGTTCAATTCGCCGCGACATGATGGATCCGAGTAGATAAAGGATGATTCGGACTTCCGTTTTCCTTGCATAAATTGCAACGATAAAGTAACTAACTATGAATAGTCAGGATCAATATATCGCGTTTCAAACGACGATGAGTTATTAGGTGCAATTATAATTATAAAGAGAGATTTTAGTATTGGATTCGTGTAATGTTATATTGAGAAATAACGTTAAAACGTATTATTTACAATTATCAATTTCATATCTCTCATTATATATTTATAATTTATATAAATACATATCTTTAAAAAATAGTAAAAGTGTAAATAATAAAAGTATAAATTAACTTTTGTGAGAGAGATTTATTTCTCTCAAATTGTTATTTAAATTCTCTTTAATCTTCATTTTGTGTGTCGGTAATTAAATATTAAAAACTTAAATTTAAATATTTATGAAAATGAGGTATTTAAATATTTGTTTAACATAAATTAATAAAATTATAATAATTAAAATACTAATGTATTAATTATTAATATTGCGCTCTGTAATGTATTGGAAATTTTGCAATTACACTAGACTTTTCAGTTTTGTAAAATTAATATTAAATTATTTTGTGTCATTCCGTGTTGTTCGTATGTATTCAGGCAATATATATTTTTTTTAGAATTATATTTTTTACTTCGCGTCAGAATGCTTAACAATATCAGAGAGCTCTTATTTAACTTGGTTTCCTTCCGTGAGATATTATTTTCACGGCCATATTCCGCAAATGTTTGTATTTTCCAAGTTACTGCTGTCGGGACAATTTAAGGATTCCTGACCTAGATAAGTCTAATATTGTTTACCCTAGGTCAGAGTAGATATCCTCTTCTTCCTCAACATAACCCACATTGACGATGAGCTCTGTGAAGATGGCACCTGCACACTTACAAAGTTTGATAAGATTCTTACGGCACTTCTGTTCACGATTTGTCTATATTTATCCATGCACACACATCTTGCGCGCGCACTGCATTTTATGTACACTTAAAAATCTAGTTATATTATAATTAAATATATATAATATAATATAATTAAATTACCGGACACACAAATTACTAGTTTCTTAACCAACTTTTTACTTTACCGCTAATTGAATTGTTACGTCAGAAAAATTAGAATTTTTTTAGCAAAGAGCATAATCGAGCACTTTTGTTAATTGCAGTATGCGCAAGTCGAGATAAATCTCGCCGAGCCTTCGCCGGTGTCACCCGTAATCGCATTACTTCCTTCGTCGTTAATGACATCAAGCTCAATCACGTAACGCCAATTAATTTCCCATATTAGCGGCCGGGCGAAAACGCGAGTTTCGAACGCGACGATATATGCAACGTTCGCTGGGCGTGATTTATTTTAATTGAATCCGCTTCCAAGCGCAGTCGGTCACATTATATCCTATTGATAAATATTTGTTGCGCGTGTGCGTTTTCTGTTTGCACTTCTATGCGCGTGTGTTCGTAAAGTGTTTTCGATATCATACGCGTATTGGCAATAAATTGGCACGCGCGCGACATGAATATTATCAATGTACGTGCGCCTTAACAGCTCAATGTATTGCCCGGGATAATTTATTATCTCAACAATAAACGATGCGAGAAATTGTGCGCGTCGATAATAATAACTTCGGCGAATAAATAGTTTCGTCTTATTTATATCGCGACGTGTAGGCAATGGACGCGTTCGCGCAAAATAAAAGCCGTAAACGCGCGCCATGAGTGGAGTATCGGAGTATCTTGCGTCAGAGTTTTGCTATAAATTGCGGAGCAAGAGTGCAAAGAGATTTGATCGGCGAACCATTAACCGATTCCCTTTTTTTTTTTTTTTTCGAGAGGGAAAAAGAACTGAGAAATTTTTCGGATAATTTCTTTCCGAGAAGAAAGAGTTCGACGAGTCGTGTAACTTCTGTGTCGAACGGTTCCGTCTCGTTATTGGTTCTTTCCGCCCAATCTCTCGCGAGAAAGTTTATTTTTGTGTTCTTCGTAATCCTCGTTAAGAACATCCGGAGCACGTGCACGGTGCGAAGGAATGATTCGCGATTCGACCCGACGACGGCGATACGCCGCGAATACGTCATGGCCGCGTATTTGACTCGGCCCCGAGGTGAGCGGGGGCGAGTGGAAACTTCCTCGTGAATTCCAAAGAAAGCCGTAGGTGTATCGAGATTTTCGCGACCTCTGTGTTTTCGTCATATTGTATTTTCGTACGTCATCTATCCGCTATACGGGACGCCCCGGCGCGCCGAGCTGATGCGTTTCGCAATTGCGTTCCGCGCCGAAGAGACAATGCGTTCCTCCCGGCGGCACGCAACATTGGCTCATGTTCGCATCGCCAAACCGACGCTAAATCTAACCGTGTAATTCAGAGTGTTCGCATTTAACGTCTTATATCTTCGTTGTGTCAGTAAACATGTGACAAAAGTAAATAAAAAATAAATTATCACAAGTGTAAGAACGTGATATTTTGAGATTATCGACATTTTCGAAAAGTACGACGATGTAAGCACCACCAGATCCACAGTCAGTTAATCTTCGATATTATCGAAGCCGACTAAAATAAATAGATTCTTATACGCTCCAGTTGTCGGAGTTTCTAATTCACTAATACGCATCCGGAAAAATTTAACTTATCGGGTTTGTGTGCAGGACACGCTTTATCGTCGGATGCAATAAATACGTTATCTGTACTTTCGTGCAAAAGTTTCGAGATCAGATCATTAGATTTGAACGTAAAATATGTAGCAGCGCCACGTGTATATTAGTACGATCCATTAACTCCGCACATATCTCTCTTTATATATACGTATATAATCTCTCTCTTTCTCTCTTTTTTATATAAACTTTTCGAGATGATAATTTCGCGCGTTATATCGTTTCACGTATCGAGTGGTACTTCTTTGCGAAGCGAATTAATTATTCGCTTCTAACCGCGGCGCTAAAAATATAATGGCGACCTCTTTCTCGTCGCGCGCGGGGGTTGATCGAACCGCCGACCGTATCACGCGGACTCTGTCGCGGACACATTTCGAAATATCCAATTAAGGATTCGATGTTTGGATTCGTTGATTTTGTACGGGTGCAAGCGTATTATATTCGCTGTATGCTCGCTCGTTTAAGACGAGCTGAACAAAAGATCGAACGATTCATATTGTGAGGTTTTTTTTTTGAAGAGCAAAATAGACGAAACATCGCGAGATAATCGATCTCTTCAGATGATTGATCTGCAGCAAAATCTCTCGCGCGCGCAGTTTTCAGGAATACTCTTCGAAAAAAAAAAAGCGATCTCAACACCTTTTCCACCGCACTCATCGAATAAACAAATTTACCGAGCGTCGATCAAACTCCGACAAGAGCAATCTGTTCTACTGAAAAATTTAGGTGTCTCAACATTTACATAATTCTATGCAGAAATCTCATGTGTGTGTACACGTACAGAAAATATTTATTTATTTATTTTTTTTTTTTTTTTGAAAAAGAACACGAAAAAATTGCGATGTGTGTTTCAGCGGCACGAGATGAATCGAAGAGTGGGATACAGCAACTACGATGGCAAGATCGCCGGGCTCTACGATCTGGAGGAGACTCTCGGCCGCGGACACTTCGCCGTGGTGAAGTTGGCGCGGCACGTTTTCACGGGCGAGAAGGTCGCAGTGAAGGTCATCGACAAGAGCAAGCTCGACGAAACTTCGAGGTCGCATCTCTTCCAGGAGGTGAGAAAGATGCAAAATTGCGCTTTATACTTGCGAAACACGAATTTCTTATCACTTATTGTTGCGCGATGTTCTACAAATTCCCGTCGTATCTGACCTTTAACTTTTTCAACGCGAAAACCGACGAAGAGAAAACGTTTTTGTTCTTGCAAGACGCGACTTTTAATTAGAACTGCAACAAAGTTATAAAGAGACACTAGGTTTATAAAAAAAAATAGAACGTACGATGTGGATTTAAATAGCTTCTATTTTCCTTCGTGAATTTTGTTTCACTTGTTTCGCATTTCGCATTCAGGTTAAAGACAGGCTAAAGCTCTGTAATGACATTCTGATCGGGATGTTCGGGGCTTTCTCTGTGAGAGCGCAAGCACGCAATTTAGTTAGTTTCCTCTCTCGTCAGTAATCTGGTTGGATGTTCTCTAATGGAAATGGTAGAACCACATTGACGACATCCTTTTGTTTAATGTCTAGTCTAATGGCTAGTTCACAGACAGTGGTTGGAAGATCGAATCGCAGTATATCGCGCGTAGTTACATCGCGCACGGGATGGACTTTATGGCAGCGGATCTCGTTAAGGTCAACGAGATAATGATGTAAATGGATGGTGGTCTGAATCGTTGACCCCACGAAGAGAGTTAGATTTGCTCTCAACCAAAATGAATTTTGCTCGCTTGCTCGCTCGTTCGCTCGCCCGTCCGCTTATCGTAATCGCATTTTCGTCCATGTGTTTCTGCAGGTGCGCTGCATGAAGCTGGTGCAACATCCGAATGTAGTGCGGCTGTACGAGGTGATAGACACACAGACCAAGCTATACTTAATTCTAGAACTCGGCGATGGCGGAGACCTCTACGATTACATCATGCGCCACGACAGCGGTCTTAGCGAGGAGGTATTGTTGCACGGCCCATTGTCGTTTTATTATGCCATCGGTTTGCAATTACGCGCGAACAAAGGGTACAAGTTTAACTTTGATAGAACGCCAACACATATTTGTTGCGCGAACTGTTCTCTTCGATCAATGAACGCGAAACTTTTAATTGTTACAAAGTATTATTCTACATTTTTGAGTCTTATTGCACAGAGAGTTTCTGAAAAATTTATTGGAAAACATTTCAGTGGCAGATTCTTTAGAACATTTTTTAAGACGAGAATTCTTCTAAAAAAAGAAAATAATGATAAAATCTTTCCGATCATAACAGGATTTAAGTTACAAGCGAAAATCACGCAACGTTCACAAATCACAGAGCTGACAGTTTGCTCGTGCGCGCACGTGTACGTGGCGTAATTTGAAATTTTAACCCGTCAGGTGGCCAGAACTTACTTCCGGCAGATAGTTCGAGCTATATCGTACTGTCACCGGTTACACGTGGTGCACAGGGATTTGAAGCCTGAGAATGTCGTCTTTTTCGAAAAACTCGGCACGGTCAAACTCACGGATTTCGGATTCAGCAATAAATTCTGTCCCGGTCAGAAGCTCGAGACCTCGTGCGGCTCGTTAGCGTATTCCGCTCCAGAGATTCTTCTGGGCGATAGTTACGACGCGCCCGCAGTAGGTAAGCTCGTTAATTAACGTGAGTAAGAATAACGTAAAAATGACCCAGGTTATTGAAATTAATTAGAGCAACTAGTAAGTAGTTTAGTTATTAAAACGGTATGTTCTTTTAACAATTAATTTATCTTTAATTTTTTAATACAATTAATGAAGTTAATCATAAATGTTGTCTCTTTTGTCGAATTGATGTAATTGGAGTAAAGAGATCGATTAAGATTTTTTCTTAATCTCGCTACTACTTGCGGATCATGTTTATGCCTTGAATTCGTTACAGATGTCTGGTCGTTAGGTGTAATATTGTACATGTTAGTATGCGGCCAAGCGCCGTTTCAAGAAGCGAACGACAGCGAAACGCTGACGATGATTATGGACTGCAAATATTCGACACCGTCGCACGTGTCCGACGGTTGCAAGCGACTGATCGCGAAGATGCTCGTGCGAGAACCCGAAGGCAGAGCGTCTCTCGAGGAGATTGCGGCGGATCCGTGGCTGGCGATCGGTTCCGACTCGGACACAACAGAGACGCTGCCGCTCGTTTCGCGTCAGCAGGTCTCCGACGATCATCACAATCACATAATTACCAAAATGGTTAACGGTAACATCGCTACCAAGGAAGAGATATTGGAGTGAGTAGACATTAGAGAAGAGTTTTGAATCATACCTTTTTTGCGGCGTTAGTATATTTCAAGCACGCATTTTATCTTTCGAACGCGGCTTCCCGCTCCGCAATATTGATCGTGAAACTCTTTTGCAGCGCGCTCGACAAAAACGAATACAATCATATTACCGCGACGTACTTCTTGATGGCGGAGAGAAAATTGCGCGCTCAACGACAGGAACAGATGCAGAAAGCACGGCCGGAGGTTTTGGATGTTTCATCAAGGTATTTCTGTTTTTTTTTTTTTTTTTTTTTATATGTTGAAGCACGAAGTGTTGTTGCTGATGACTCATTTATCGAGTGAGCGAATTCGAAATATTTATACTGTACGTCGATTCTCGAGTTGAAGTCAATGTACTGACGTGCGCCGTGTCAATTTTCTACAGCCGGCAGGACGATCGGCTAGCAAACCTGCGCGCGGACCAGAATTCTCTCACCACTGTGAACCAGTCGTTGCTGAATGTACCGCTGACGCCTGGTGACGTACCGCAGGTACGTATCGCATGTCCATCGCCTAGAACAACATCGACTAAAAGAACGTAACGTTAGGGCGGGCGTGTAAGTCTGCCGGAGAACGTTTCTCGCGTTAGAGAAACAAAAGATGGCTGTTCTCGTTGCAGAATGCACGTACGCGCAAATGCAGCATCGTTCAAGAAGAAGAAGACGAAGACGACGATGTGTCTTCGTGTTCCGGCCGCGACGAGCGTGGCAGTAATTCCACACTGAATTCTCTGAATCGTCGCGGTTCCCGTTCCGAGGGAAAGCTCTCGCATATCCTGCAGGAACGATTGTCGCAGCTTCCGGAAAAGCACGCCGGTGCGAAATCTGCGCAGAGTCAACAGGTTCCGCAGCAGAAAGAGGACGTCGTTATCACTGACAGGGGAGAAAGACTGAAGCAGATTACGAGAAACGAGAAGGATAATAAGACGTCGTCGCCGGCACATGCGTCGGTGATGGTCAAGATTCACACGGGTAATGTCGTTTTGGAAAAATTGCCTACATCGAAACAGATTACCTCGACGTGTGAAGAAAATCTGAAGAACCGATTGAGCAACACGAACGCTCCGTCGGCAGGATGGGCTAGAAAAGCTACCAGCACGGAAGTCCGACCGAAATCGGTGACGGAATGTTTGAAGTCGGCCGGACCGGTGCCGGTGAACAAATGGAGAATGGGTGCTCAGCACCATCGATTCAGCGTACCATCCACGGAATCCGCGGTAACAATTCTTTCAAAACCGTCCGAAATTCCTACGACTACGACTACCACTACTATTTTGCACGAATCGTCGACTGTATCGATACCTCTTCATCCGATTAGCGACAATCAAGTGACGTTAACACCTAAGTACAAGACAATGCCGTCGCCCGGCAGCGGTAATTCGTCTAGACCGCTCAATGAAATTCTGGAGGACGGGGACGGCGTGCAGACACCGGTGAACTCAAGCGAATGCGGCAGTTCGACAAAATGCCGCATCGTCAGGCGAACGGGATACGAGCAACGGAGAAGCAAGTTCCACAAGACGCGCACTACCTCGTGCTCGAGTTCCGAAACCAGCGATGACGACAGCGAGAGCCGGAAGAAAAGGGCGCACAAATTTGGCGCGTCCACAGGCAAACCTTTACCGACGAGACGCGACAGTCACGATGACTCGAGCGACTCGCAGGATCCAGGAGGAAACAGCGGCGGACGGGGTGGCGTCGGCGGCGGTGGTGGTGTGAAGAACGGCGAACACACGACAACGGACACGCCGACGACAACCGAAAATAATCAAAATAACAGTAGCGGCACTAACACGACCAACACTAGCACAACGACCGGAGGAGGGAGACATCGATGTACCGAGAACCAGGTTATGTTTGGTAGAAGACATCGCGCAGGTAGAAGAAGAACCAGCGAAACGCGATTACGAGAGAGCCAGTCATTGAATCGCATTACCGAAGTCCAGGAAGCCGAAGCACCCTCGTCCTCTCACACTCAACATCACATGTCTCGCAACTCGACCATTCCCGGCCCGCAGTCGAACGTTTCGTCGTCATCGTCACAGAGCAGCATGACTTCTCAACACAGCGCTGTTCATCCAGTATCTCATACCGCAACTACTACAGTGCAGAAGGCTAAAGGTCTCGGGGCGAGACTGTTGCAGAGCTGGTCGCTCGGCAGCGGAAAATCATCTCTAACATCCCAAGGCTTAAATAAACAATCCGCTCATAGTCCCGATGGAAAAAGTAACAACTGTCAACAGCAGTCGAACGATTGTCAGACGATCGGTAACGCTGGTGACGAATTACGTCGCAAGGATCACAGATGTGCTAGTCATTTGCCGTGCAACGATAAGGAGAATCGCGGCAATAGCTCAATGAATCGGAACGAGTGCAAGAACAGGAAGATGCGGCTTCTGAGCCGTTACTTCGCCGTGCACAAGAAGCTCTGCGTACCGCTGCCGGGCATTTTCGGAAAGGGTCGTCTCTACAAAGCTCGCTCGTGCGGTAGCATTAGTCGCGATCGCGTGAGTCCGTCGTCACCGAAGTCGGTGTTGCTGTGTTCCACTGCAACGGCCGACGACAAGTGGCGAGAACGTCATCAGTGGTGCGACGCTACGACGAAGCAGCATCGCGGTAGCGACGGTGATATCAATCAGAATCTAGGCCTCGCGCATCTCGTGCAAGAAAACATCGTCGGCAAGGGCTGCACCGGACTGCCCACCGTGTGCCACATTCATCTCGGGGACGCTTCCAAGTGTTGCAGCCTTTGTTGATGAATCGCTTCTGTTCGAAAGAAACGGAGAACTTTAAAGCGCGTTTAAATACACGGGACGAGAGGCAAATACACAAGCGGGTGTTTAGGTAAGCGCGTTTTAAATCCGTTCCGGTGCCAGTGAACATAGCTAGCGGCGTGCGCGCGCAATACTTGTGTTACGACAATCTTTTTTCGACACTACTATATATTTTCTAGCGAGCTATTTTATTAACACATGCTCTTAGCGACTGTGAGAGATCTGATTTTTTAGTTTTTGACAAAAGTTTTTTGCGATCCGAAACAGCGTAAATGCCGCATCTCTGGCACATCCTAAACAAAAACAAAAAAAAAGAAAAAGAAACAAGAGAGTAGTGGCTAACGATTACTTCATTTTAAATGCGAAATATTAAGAATAGATCTATTTATCGATAACATAATTATTTAGAAGTGCAATGTTCACGTGTAATTAATTGTCCGAGAAACGTACGACCTCTCTTCTATGCTAGCGGCCGTTTTACATTAAGTTTATGAAAACACGCAATGATAATAATTGATGTTCGCGCATGTGTGCGGTAATCGTTAATCACGATATTATTAAGGATTTACGTGGCTCCGGTTTGCCATCGACAATTCGACTGATCACACATCATATCCCCGCTGGTCAACTGTAAAGCACAGGGATCAAGACAGAAATAAGAAAAGGAAAGAGCGTACCGTATTTTCGGATCGATCGCTTCGGGAGAGCTGTATCTAGTCCATGTGAACAAACATACTTGTATTAAATATTGCAGAGTTTATGATGATGAGAGAGAGATTATTATATTATTATATTATTATATATATAATATTATAATATATATATATATATTATTATATACATTATACCACTCTTACTCTCTCTGCTACTACTACTATTACCGCTATTATTACTAATACAATCGCGCTATTATATTATGCGATATCTCCACGGATTTTATCGCTGTCGTCATTGTCATCATCATTATCATCATCATCATCATCATCATCAACATTATCATTATCATCGCTGCCTTCGACTTCTCATTTCATAAATACTTACAATGCAAACAAAAAAATCTAATATTATACATACACACAATATAATAATATCACAAATGCATTGCAAAACACCGTTGACGTTCACCGATTTTTATCACATAGATGCAATTTGCTGCGATCGATCAGTGCATAATCGCGCAGTGTGCGATAAGTGTCTTCCTCGTTCCTCCCCTTTTTCATTTTTCTTTCCGATGTTTCCCGTTTATTTAAGTACAGTGTTCCCCTGTTCTTCTCTCCTCTCCTTAGATGACATTGCCTTTAGAAAGCTTCCTAAGCTCGTTAACTTATTGAGACGAAGAACAGATAATTTCCGAATGGCGATTGATTATATTTATATACACATATATTGTAATGCGGATATATTAAACTGCGGATGTAGAAAGGATGTGCGAGTGTCTTACAACGGCAGCCTGAATTAAGCGTTTAAGGGGGAAAAAATTAAAAAAAAATAAAAATAAAAAAACAAAAGAAACTTGTTCCACGTTTGTACATGTCCGTTGAACACGGTGCGGAAGTAAAGTGTATACTTCTCGAAAACAAGCGAGCGTGCGCGACGTGTAATAAAGCCCACCGAGTGCATAATACTGTGCGCGGATATTAGAAGCTTAAGGCGATATAAGAGCAATTGTCATTAGTCGATCTATATTTGTAGATCTAAATAATCAGCAGCGAACAAAAAAAAAACAAACCAAAAAAAAAGATCCTGTTGAACGTGCTTGCCGGTTAAGCACGTCGAGATGTTCTTCGATCATTTGTTCTTTCGAGTGTTCGCGCCATGTATTAACATGATCGGATATCGTCGCATTAGTCATCGTCATCGTTTTTCCATCATCGTCATTATCGCGAATGTTACATTTTTTTTTTTTTTTCTATGTATGTTACTCCTAATCGTTGATATTGTATAGATTCGCATCTTTCAATTGGAAAAAAGTATTTTACCGCAATTAGATATCGTCTTCTGATTGCAAGTTGCGAGTCGCTGCGTTCAGTATGTTCGTAAAAAAAATCAACAAAAATGTTTTGTCTTATTTATTATTTCTTTTTCAATGCGAATGCGTTTTTTTTTTTTTTTTTTTGTTTGCGACACACATTGATCACACGCGATCATTTCTACTCCGATTCATTCTTTTATTACACTTTGACATGTGAATCTCCGTCGATCGCGGGCGCTGGACGCTCGACACAAAGACACTTTCTCTCTCATAAGTTCACGATTTGCAATCCTACTTTGTGTATTGTATATCACTTGTTGTTGTTTGAGTTAACTAGTGAGACGAAAGCGTACGATATGTAAGCTCAAGAATTCTAAATGTTGATGTTAAGATACAAAGCGACTGTCTTTAATTAACAACAAACGTAGCGAGAGGCGGTCTCGTTCAGTCGTGCTAATTCTCGAACACTCTGATTACTTTCCTAATTTGTTTTTTTCAATTCGCAGCGCTTTTTCAAACGAGATGAGTCGATTGTAACTTCTTTGACAAAGACTGAGAATCGCGCGCAATGATTTCGATGATATATCTCTGACCACTCGAACTATCACTTTTATGCGTCGCACGATGACGATGACCTAACGAGACCAAAAAATGATAATTCGTAAGAATTCACAGACCTAAGTTTTGCGCTAGCTACAAAGTGCAATACAAAATCGTACAAAGCCAAGTACCTTGCGTCGGTGTAGTCGTTGATTTTAAGAATTCGACTCGATTTTATCTTTTTCACCCTACTATTACTGTAGCGTATTGCGACTCGGGATCTATCTTCGAAGCTCGGAGCTAACAATCGCGGTGTACATGGGCATTAACGTTATATTCCGGTGTGTGAGTAATATCGCGGAAGAGAAAAAAAACATGATAGGGAAACATTTATAAGATAACAAAAGCGAACAGTTTATGCGTAGATTGTTGTTGCAATCGAAAACGAAGAGAAGAATTAATTATTTAGCGCGACAGCTCAAGCAAAATCTCTTTGCAAAAAAAAAGCCTCTATATAGATCTAACCCTCGCGGCTCTTGTCTCGGTCCTATTATTTATGTAATAACACACACACAGACACACACACACACAAAGCGGAAAGTGTCTCTCGTGAGAAAGATAAACGGATTCTGGAGCTGCGAACAGAGCGGAGTGTCTCTTCCATGTACATATCTTCGACATTTTCCTGCGTCCGGGAAAATTTACTTGCTCTAACGCGAGTTAACGAATTAATTAAGAAAGAGAGGGGAAAATAAAGAGAGTAAGATATTTTCGTGCTGTAAAAAAAAAAACGGAAGAAGAACGCGCCGATTCACTGGTGGAATTTCCTAAGATGCGATATATACGCACACATAAGTATAATATTGTGAAACTCTCTAAAGAGTACATAAGAGTTATAGACGTCAAACGTAAATACCTGTTGCGAACTCTTATCGGCTTCGTTGCTATTGCGCTGTTAATTAGTCGCCCTCTCTCTCTCTCTCTCTCTCTCCCCCTTCTTCATCTTCTTCGGAATAAAGCCGCTGTGTTTCGAGCGTGTTGCACACATACACGTACACACACACATACACACATAGGACACATACACTGCGAGAGGGAATTTTCTAAACGGTCTATTTTTTTCTCATTCGTCCTAATGTCTATCCGGCCTGAACAGACCAAAGCCCCCCGTCATCCCCGTAGCGTCCGATTTCATCCCGATTTACTGCCAGCTGTTAACGACACACCACTTTGCTAAAAAAAAAAAAAAAAAAAACCGGCATACGATGAGATCTGTAAACCGCCAAACATGATCGTTCATGCACTGTGTGCTCGGACGAAATAAACGAAAAATGACAAAGTTAACACCTTGACAATATCATATCTCCTCCACTCTCCCTGTTATTTGTATTATATTCTTTCAGTATTATCTCCTTTTAGCGTATTTTTATCGAAATAGAATAGATAAGTGAGGTAAGAAATTGATCAGTCCTTACATAGTCATAAAGTTTTGTATTTATAAATTCGTTCGTTAATAATACGATGTGTGTGTAATATTAATCTCTGCTTATATAAATTCTCTTTCAAAGTAGTAACATAATTATATATCGTAATCATTGAAAAAAAAAAAAAAGAATAACAAGAGGGAATGTAACATGTGTGAGGGAGGGGATCAAGCAAGTCCACAGATGTGAGGATGAAACACAAATTGCCATATTGCGCAAAACGTAATTAATTAATTTAATATTGATTTTGTAACAAACAAAAATCAGTAAAGTTAATATCACACGGAATAATGCCGATTTGTGAACGACGATTTTTTAAATTCTACGAGAATGGGAGAAAGACGAACTTTTTGTTATTGTTATGATCATCTTCTGGCGCCCTCGTTAGCTTTTTCATTAAATAAGTTCCAAGAATTTTTTTTAGAAAATTCATTTAACCAACAACTTAAAATATCCCGCTCTGCATTTGACAACACGTTATAGGTGCTAGATAAGACTGATTGGCTTAGCCAGTCAGATTGACTCTTTAGTCTTGACATCACCTCCCTCGTTTGCATTGACGCGTTATACTCTCTCATCATTATAGCAAACTGTGTATCTTACATATCGTGCGCGCGCGCGTTTATATCAAAACAAAATTATATATCCGTAGAGGCACTTGTTTATAAAAAAAAAAAAAACAAAAAATATTTACAGCAATAGAAGGTGAGTGTTTACTTATACAGTATAATATGAGTTTTACGTATAACAGTAATATGTTTACTTACAAACTAATCATACATTTTACATTCTAAAGCGCAAAAACGTACGTCTTATAAATTAATTTGTTCGCTTAATTTGTCTTCTAACAGTAAAAAAAAAAAAAAAAAAGAAACTAAGCTGTCAAACGGTGTGGTTCGCAAAAATAACGCGAACATCGCATTACGTTTCGGTTATAAGAAAGAATCATATATAATAGAAAAAGCTCTTTTATCATATAAAAAATATTTTTAGATGTAGGAACTTCGAAAATATAGAATGTGGTTTGTAACATTCTTTCGTAGTATAATCAGTCCGTTGAATCGATCGGTGCGATCGATTGTGATGTATACATTTCGTTGGCGTGGAAGGACTTCGGTAACTGTGCTCTACGTCGAGAGAAGACAACTTTGTGCGTATGTATGGAAAATGCCTTGTTTTCTTATATTTCTTTTTCGCGCATTTCGGCAACTATTTTTCGAAAACTCATTCGGAAGAACGTCCATTAATAGTTTTCACGCACAAACTAACTTGTCTAACAAATTCTGCACGTTGATTTATAAATGAAAGTGGAATCAATCCACGATTTGTCAGAAAGAATTAAACATCTTCAACGCCGTTACATGTCTTCATTTTGCCGTTGATCCAGATGTTTTAAAGCTTTCTTACTGTTCTCCACGAATTCCTGTGAATAAAACAAGATTTTTTAATTTTTTTGTAAATGATAAAATATATAAATCATAAAAATGTTGTGAAAAAAGTGGGGTTTTTGACGCATAAAGTAGCTGATACGAACCATTAAGCCGCGACTCATGAAATAAGGTCGGCTGATGCCGTCGTTCTTTTCACAATCCTCGCAGAAACATATAAATATCGTATCAATAATCATCTGTAAAAAAAAAGTATCATCTCAATAATATTTATTTGTTAATATAATAAATATTTATTTGTTAATATAATTTAACTTAATCAAGTTTTATTATATAGATTTCTTTGTTTTACGCGCCACTTACCTCGTAAATAGATATGAAGCAATGCGCGACCAAGAACGCGAATATACCCGCAAGACCGATTGGTATCCAAGGATGATGAAGTCCTTCTTTTTTCTGCAATACAACAAAACTAAGTCCTTAGTAAAGCTCGTAGAGTGTGCTGTTCTGACAATAAAGACTTTTTTACCTGTACCTGCATCAAATAAACTCCAGCAACCATGGTCAATGTGACAACGAGAACTTTGCCTAAGAAGAGAACAAAATCACCGACACTGTTAATCGCTGCCACTCGTAGGATGTTACTGGACAAAGCTTGGAATGCTTTTCTTCCGCCTGTGCAAAAGTTGCATCCGTATATGGCTGAAAAATCAAAATATTTCTCGTATAAAGTGCACGTACACTGACAAACAAGGGGATATTGTTAAACTGGCTTTTTTTTTTATCTGAATGAAGAGCTCTCGTGTTTTATAAAATAAAATGTTTTTTTTTTTTTACCAGTTTCAATGTAAGCGTTTCTGGTGAGAAATTTCAGAGCGCATTCGAAACACCAAAGACAACACTGGCAACACCAAAGAATCGCGTTTACAAAAGCGTTGTCATATTGCTTGAGATGTTTCTGGGTGAAGGATATCATGGCCCGAATTATTCGGACAATTCCTATTATCAAAGCTCCGAAGGCAACGGTGCCGAGATGGTATCTTATGAGGTATCCGAAGCCTTTTACCACTGGCAGGGATAGACGTTTCTTGTCCCTGTTCAAAACACAGTTCTCGTTTGATCGACTAGATTTCTCATTTGAATCAGCATAAAATATTATATTGCGCAAACACACAAATAAGTTGATTATCACACTTAAATATCTCACCTCGTAAAAAACCACCGGGCAACGGCACAAGCGACAATTATGTGTTGGCAACCCAAGTAAAATTCATACGCCACGAAGAAACAAAACAGGTTGTACCATCTTGTTGCCTGAATAAACACATTTAATTTGTTAAAAGACGATATGTCAGAAAGAACAGAAGATTGATGTGTTCGCTTACAATAATTAGCGCATCCTTTCTAAAATGAACGTGGTTTTTTCTGTTCTTGTACATGTCACCGGCGCTCTCGATCCACAGCATACAGTAGACACACGCCACCGACGTGAATCCGAGGAGCAGATACGTCTGAAAATAATGAATTTCGCGTTTTCGCAGAATAAATATTCATCACGATGATTACGAGTTTTATAAATTTAAATTCAAGATATGCGCTCACGTAAATTGGCTGAAACAGCAGCGCCGGCATCGCGCTCACGGCTTTGCCCGCTTCCCGAAAGAGTTGCATGACCAATTGGATTCTCTTTCTCATCACTAGAATCACCAGGAGCACGATGACCTGCAAGCAGTATGCGTGTATACGTGCACTACACGTCGATTTTTGATCGAGCAAAAAACGCGATTAATTAAAATTGAGTAAAAGTGTCTCCTTACAGTAACGACTGATGCTATGATAGCGTAAACAAAATAGGACTCTATACTGGAATCTTCGGACGTGATTTCATTTTTGTCTATACTTTTCTTCTCGTGATACCACTCCAACCTTTGTGCAGAAAAGAAAATATTAAACAGTGTTTTGTTGTTTTTCGAGATAAAAAAAAATAGATATTTTGATCTCGCGTACGCGAAACTTTTACATTGGAAAATTGAACATGTTTGATTTAGCGTATCACTTTTTAATTAATTTGTGGTTTGAAAGAATTTTATTCTTTTTTTTTTTTACCAGAAATACGTCGTGCCACCGATACAAGCCACGACTACGCCAATCAACACGAGATAAACAGCATATTGTACCACATAGCGGAAAGCCACCAAAATGCCAAGAGAAAGTGCTGAAAAATCAATCATTCAGATGTTTCTATTTTCTGTAGCTCAGCAGTGATGTAAGAATTTATTTACAAATTGTAAAAACACACATCCTTGATGGAATAAAAACAAATGTGCTATTTTTGAAGAATAATATCCGAAACTGTCAGATTTCTTCAACATGAGTACTGTTAAAACTATTTTTGATTTAATTAAAATTAATTTGATTTTTTTATTATATCAAAAATATAAAATATGATAACGCAATAATATAATATAATATACGTGATGTATTAATTTGATTTTTTAAATTAATTTAAATTAATTTGATTTTTTATTATATTAAAAGTATAAAATATGATAACGCAATAATATAATATATGTGATGTATTTTCAGAAAACGTACCCAAAGCTATGAGCAAGAGATAAAGCAATTCGCGCCATGCAATTCCTAAATCGGTGACTGCCTCCTGAAAAAGATGATCGATAATTTTCAAACAGTTTTCAATAATTATGTAGCTAATTAAGAAAAATCAGTGCGTTAATTATTCTGCTTGATTTTTTTTTAATGTCTTTAGTAATTATTCGAACAACATTTTACTTTATTTGTGATGAATTTTTGAACTAATTCATTTATTTATTTATACAAACATTTAAATGAATAAATTTTTTTACATGCACGAGTTCAGTAAAAGCGATTATCATAGTAAGATAATTTGACGGAAAAATGATTCAAGCTGAGTGTTAAAAATATAACTTATAAAAGTGAATTAAAATTGTAAAACGTCTAAATTACAAGGCTGTTTCCAAAATTTAATATAAAATTTATTCACTGCACACGGCTCTTCTTTTAAATAGTGAATGAGTTTTAAAATAAAGTGGAAAAGATAGAGTACATAAATATATATTCTTATTACAAGAAGAAACGAAGCAAGAGATATTGACGGAAAAAAGAATTCTGAATCTTTTAGAACTCGGGATTGAAATTTTCGCGTGACACAAAAACCTTAATGACATTAAAAGAGTTTTAAACCATAAGACACAAGAAGACGTGTAAAATTACGATATAATGCAGAAAAATGTTTCCTCAAAAGCGATTACTTACGTTAAAAAAGCTGTCCAAGCGCAGGCTTCTGACAATAGAGTTGATAGTGTCTTTTACCTTATCGATGTTGAGTATACACCGATTTAAAAATAATAATCTGCAAGATAACGAGAAAAATGGAACATTGATGAAAACGGAAGAGAATAATAGGTTCGTATTTAAATCTGACAATTCTCGTGCAATTGTCTCCCCGATAATCATTTCGATTAACGTGCAATCTCGAAGATAAAAAGAAGCAGAATAAGTACTTCAGTTTTATACTAACTTGGGACTTTCTTTCGTGTCTTCGCAGCGTTCCACACATTTGCGTTTGGGTACAGCGCCTGGGCTGATGTCGATCTCGACATATCTGAACAGATATGTAGAAAATTAAGTTTATCAACGAGAACAATAAATCCTCATAGAAAATTTATCAATTGCAATCAGAGCTGAGTAATATTGAAGGAGAAAATATTTCAAATATTATTTTAATTTAAATAATATTTGATTATTTACTTTGTTTTAGTAATTTAGTTTGTTTGTACTCAATTTTGTTTGAAAAAAAGCTGAAATTTTATATTAAATCTTATAAACAAAATACACGCGGAATTGTCTACACGTGTCTAAATACAATATAAATACTTCAAAATGTACTCACTTCATACGAGTAAAGTCTTCGTTTGTACAGTTGGTTCGTGGATAGCTTTCGCGCACGGTTTTGCGGCCGCAGACGCGACCGCAATCGTCGTAGCCATTTATCACGCGGTAAATGTCACCCTTCTTGACAACGTTCGTCAGCATAAAGGCCTACGTGCGCGAACGAACTATTATTGTACTAATATGTGTAACATAGAGAGGAAAAATATGACATGTCACTTACGAAACCACCCGCGAGTACAAGCAGGACGAGCAGTGTCAAGATGTCGGTGCATGATCGATCCTTAACGAAGATCTGGTCCGAGTTTCTGGGCGAACTTTGACTTTGAGGTGTCTGAAAAGCAATTATATTTTTTCATAACGTGTAGGTTGTAAAAACAAAACATCTCCGAATATTCGAGACAAACACAAGACCCTTACCGTCGGTTCCACTTTGGACGACGGTTCGTCCGCACAACCGCAGCAGCCCATCTCGGGACTCGTTTGGACAGTCGGCTCGTCGTTTAAACAGCTGTGCTCGTCTACCTTTTGATCACCCTTTGACAGATCTGCCGCTTCCGATGCGCCTGCTTCAAGAACAGAAGGCGGAGATATGATTAGTTCTCGTTATTGTCACTGCGTTGTTATCGCAGCCCGCGAGAACGATCAACATCGACTAATTGTTTGCGGACAAGTGCGATAAGTAGATACGTAGCAGCGAGCGAGATAACCGATTTTTTTTAGATGCGATATTCGCGCGATTAAAATATTCCGAGTCAGAAGATCGAAATAACGACGCGCGCGCATATTCTTCCGAAATCATTCGAAAAAACCGAGTTGACGCGAAACGAGATAATGTTCCATTTAACAAATTATCATTATAATTCCGATGAAATATTTAAACAGGAATTTAATTATATTATCAATGATTGAAAGTTTAATTCTCCGATATACAGATAGCGCGTACACACACATACGACACGACGCAGAAGAGTGTCCGATAATTTTGATGCAATAATAATCGTCATCGCGCTACTCTCCACGGAACGCGCGCTCTTCGTAAGAGAAGACCTAGGTCACACGTCGATATCGATCGATTAATGTACCGGGAAAATTGCACGCACGAATATTGTTGTCGCGCGACTCAGAAAATTACGTATCATTCGTGACAAAGATACGCGAAACATACCGTGTTAATTTAACTGGACACAAAATATATATATAAAAGAAACTTCATTTGTGCAATATTTGTACAAATGTTTTCAACGAAACTCGCGAATATAAAAGCAATGAATAATTCTCATTGCAAGTGTCTTCTTAAAAAATAATAAACAAAAATAATGGCGCGCGAGCATGAAATATCGGTGCGAGACACGTAAAAAGCAAATAACATCTTGTCACTCAAAATCAAATGGAGATAGACAGTTTTTGTATATATAAATATGCAACAACACACATGTACGTGAATTCTTGTGCAAATCGTAAATCTATTAGTTTTGTTCTATGACGCGGTCTGCAAAGAAATGGCTCGTATACGATTTATTTAGCGCAAACCAACTTTTACTCGTTTTCTCTCTCTCTCTCTCTCTCTCTCTCTATTCCTCTAACGCACCGACAGAGAATTTATAACAATTACCGAGGATAGTAAAAGTCACACGAATATATATTGAGCGCAGTAGGTTAATGTTACTTCCGTGTTTCAGTCACGAAAGAAACACGAGAGAAGTTTACCAGGCCGGGTATAAAAACGTACATAAGAGAGAGTTTCAGTCACGCGGCATGTGGTGTTGAGCGACAGCCTTGTGGATATATACGCGGACGCTTATCGTCCGCGCGTTGAAAGAATTTTATACACAAAATTATATCATTACTCTCTCCGGTTCCCAATCGTTATCTTAATCTTTATCCCGAACAAACAGTTGTTGCGGAAAATTTTCTTTTTCGAGAAACTCGCACTTTATCGAACGTGAGTTTTCCCGTCGCGTGTCATTTTCTATATTGTTCTCGCGCGTTTAAGTGAAAATTTATGGCAAAGTGTTGTTGCGTTGCTGTCTGGAAAGTTTAATCTTTCATTATTTTGCAGCGTTGAATTAACGATGATCGTCAGAAACGTCATCAATCATGAATCGACTCGCTCGATGTGGCTTGCGCGACCGAATTAAACTTTAAGGCGTTTTGAACCGCGATAATCAAATTGCCCCTCTCTCGACGTGTGCGTGATGCGACGGTGTCATGATAAATAGTACTCGTGTATGTCAGTTTTAGAGAGAGATAGGTTAATCTTCGGTGAGTGTAGATGTAAGACAGATGACGCTTTCTGTAAACCTCTCTTGCTTGTATATATCGTCTCGTATCGAATATAAAGTGACACGTTGTTCGACAAACACAGTTTAAAAGTTCCGTTTTGAACTATCTGACCGTGATAAGAACCTAATCGCTCGTCACGAACAAACATTTTTTCAAACTATATATATAAAGTAGTTTATATCAGACAGACACGTTAATTCTTATCGCGATGAATTCGAAGTTCAGTCGACTTGCATTCCACGGTTGTGTCGCCGCAGACTGCAATAGATACATAATCGCACAGTTTATTGATTTGCATTTTTGTGCACGCTAAAAAACAAAGTGTGTGTGTGCGTGTGTGTCGCGCTTATGAGACGACCGATTTTCGGACTTGCAGAACGCGATGGTTTTTCCTCTGTCGAAATGGTTTTTCCCGAAGGAACGCGGTTGGTTCATCGACTCGCAGTCGCGTTGCCGCTTCTAATCGCGGTCCGCACGCAAGAAACCGTAACACAAACGTTTGCCGAGCAAATCGGCGTGAATCCGGGGTGAGACACATTTCGAGTTTGCAATTTCGGGATGGCTCTTCTATTTGACACCGGGTTTCAAGCTCGGGGAGCTTGAATCAATATTAAGTGGCTGTCGCACGCATTACATGCGAATTATCAACGCGGTGCAACAAACCGGCTGTTCTTCACGCACGTCTCGATGAGTTCACGTCGCGCATAAATACGTGCGCGTTCCGCTGCACGCGCAACACGATCTGATTGCGCATCGACAACGACGATTTTGCCGTTAACTCGTCGTATTATTTTCGCACCGCCAGATCCGGAATCTATTTTCGCGTCTCCGAAGGCACATCGTCTTCGTGGAGTTCAGGTTAAAGTTATGAAAGACGTGTTTCGCGAAAACTTTGCCGGGCATCTGGCGGCGTGTATACCTTTTCAATGAAACTTGGGTGAAAAGACGGAGCGAGTTCTACGTATTCCGGGAAAAAAATTTCCAGACGTGGAAAAAGAAGTTGCGGATTTTTCTTCGCGAATCAACACTCCTCTCCCCGACCGAGGAGTCTGGATACATAATCTCGCTCGCTCGACGTATAAGAGCCGGGACCGCATGCAAGAGAGAGGGACTTTTAACCTCGGGGAAAAAAAAAAAACAACGTTTCGCTACCGTATAGGTTATTCGCACGCGCATTGTCTCGCTCGTGTACCTCGAGCGAGACAATGCGCACAATGGAAAGACGTCTGAATGGCTAGTTAAGTGATCCTCGCGCTAATTGTACTCTCATACGAAACATTGAGAAGAATCATGAGTCATCGGTGCGCTTCTACGCGCACACGTTTTTTTTCGCAAAACGCACTGGCGGTGCAGCTCTGTACAACGTGGGGCATTGTGATTGAAAGCACAACGCCCCACGTAAACAGAGCCTTGAACAAGAACTGGAATTTTTTACGTTATTTTTTTTTTATTATTGTAGAGAAAAGTTCTCGGTTCGATGTTGAAATTTCTTGATCTGTGAGGTGGTGAGCGATACCGAACAGGTTGCAGGATAATTCATTCTGCTCCTTACCTCACAGATCAAGTTATCTTTTTGTTCTTTATTTTTTGTTTTTATTTATTTGCATTGCGAGAGTTAATTGTTTTATTGTCAAATTAATAAATAATTAAATCCGAGTGTGCAAAATAAATAAATTTTGTCGTCACATAGATAAATTTATTTCACAGTAGCGATTATTTATTATCGCAATTTTATACATCGAACGAGGTCACTCTAATCACATAGATATCAAAGACTTTACACACACACACACACACACACACAAACAGCTACACTAAATAAGAATAGAATAAAAATGTAAGCGTTACTTTATTACTATCTCCCCCCTTCCCGTGTTTCTTAAAATAACAAACTTACAAGACGATATCACAATGAAATGTCTCACTTGACTGATATTGATAATCACGTTGAAAGCGCACGTTGCATCCGATTGCCGTCATTGAAACGCGATATCAGGTAAATATTTTTGATTCGACGCACATGCAAGTTGCATCTTACCTAAGTCTCTCAGAAGGAACACACGTGCTTGGTTTTTCGAGAAGTTCGAAAAAAATGTAAATAAATCAAATTGATCTCAATATATGTGTGAGGACAAAAAATTTTTTACAAAATTAAACTCTCGAAAACGCAGCAACACACAAACTCTCAGTTATCGTCAAAGTGCATCACAGATGATTCATAACCACTTTGTGAAAACGTATATCTGATCACACGCACACCCAATGGACTAAAGTACAATCAAATTTTTTCAGGCTAAGAAATCCACATGGACAAAAAACATTTCACGAGAAATACCGAATTGAACCGAACAGATCCGATTTGTGCTCTTTGCCTCTCTCTGTGATCCCTTCGACCGCTCTTTGTCCCAATTGACGGTGTGTCAAGTACGGGGTGTCCCGTAATTCTCGACTTCGTTCGCAACGACGGAAATCCTCCGGCCGAAGCGAAGAAAGTTGCGATGAATAACGCGCTTTCTCGATTTTTCGCTGGGAAAACATCGATTTTAAAACTAATTCTGATAATTTAGTGCACCAAAGTTATACACGTTATCGCTAGTTAACTGAACACCCTATATATCATACGTTTAGGTAATGCGGAGTTTGTTTCAGGTACCGTAAGTTCCGGAGAGTTTAGGAGTCTACAGTTTCCAAAGTTCAATATCAGCTATATAATCGTGTATTATAATATACGACAGTCAATTGTAATTACTTTGCCACGTGCGATATACGACGATCGAGAGATATCGCCGCAAATCTTGTTTTGATTGCGTAACGCCAGTCAGGCGAATCTGTTGTTATCTAACCTAACGCGAAAATCATTAGATCGGACAGATCTTCCGATTGGCAGACGGTATCCCTACGTCATATCCGAAACAGGCTGCTAACCAGCCATGACGAACAGTGAGTCGATTGTTTTTCCCGGCAAATTCGTTGACTGTCTCTCTATGTACTTTATATTTCCTCGACAATTTTATTTTAAAACCACCACCGCGATTTTCCACCACTCATAACTTCATCAGAACGCTCTCATACGCGGTACAACGAACCGCGCAAACTACTCCCAAATGAAATAATAACGTTCAGGCGTCACGCTTAGAATTTTCGCGTAGGTGCGACATTATCGCTCTCCGGAATTACGCAAGAAGCTCGTTAAAACCGGAGTAATGATACATTAGAGCTTAAAAGTTAAATCGCTTCGCAGCCACGCGCGAAGCGTAGTTGGGAACGTGTGAAGCGCGAGAGTTGATTAAAATATAACACGTTAAATATACATATGTATATGTATATCACCTGATCTTTGCACGCACAAAGATGATATAACATAATCCAATAACGTTGAGAATTTCGCCAAGTTACGCAAAGCTGGATAAAATATAAACCCCGATAATTAAAGATAGGCGCGATAATCAGTTTAGCCAACATTGAGTTTATCAGTCAGAGCGATAACGAAGAAGATACGCGCAATTATTAACATGAAGCTGTATATTTTATAATATTTTGCCAATCACCGTGTGCACGAGCGTTAATTAATTAATTCCAAGTTACATTTATACGTGAATATCGAATAATTTGCGAAATCTTTCATTTAACCGGAAAGTTTACGTGTACACTGAGAAAACATCTTATTAAAATCCATACGTTCAAACGTAATCTCTTCGTCTTGCTCGGCGCGAAGCTTCGCCTCGACAGATATAACAGCGGCAATAGCAGTATATAAGGATTATGGCAACATAAACGGATGTAGGTCGTACCTTGATGAAGATTTCGCGTGGCGTCATTCACGCATTATGATAATCCTGTGTGCTCCTCCTTCCTCAATTATTCATGAACCTTGAGACTCCGAGGATAGCGGACTTTCGACAGATAGGCTTCGTCTCTATGCGGAAACTTCGAAATCGCTGTCTGTATAATTCGTCCTTGAAGTTACACACGCGTTTCTGGATTTTGAGGAAGAACGATAAAGCCGCGATCTATAAGCGATCTATAAATCCGAACGACTTGAACGACTTATCCTCCCACCCGCTCCGTACATCTGTTTGGACTCGGCGTAACCTCGCTCGCGATCGATGAGTGCACTATCAACACAACTGTTCGAAGATACGCTCGTGTCTATTTGCTCGATTCAATAGTGCGATATGGTGCCGTTATATTATTCGTCGTTTGGGATATAAAAGAAAAAAGAATGTGATTTCACAAAAAAAAAAAAAAAACATTTCTATCGTGACATTAAAATCTTATTCAAACAGATACTGTATTTTATTTAACATTATCTCGTGTATCGATTGCTTATCGTGCGCTTGGCTCATTTTTATCCGTCTGACGATTATACTCTGCTTTATGATGTATGAGAAACGAAAGGAAGGAGGAAACGGAAATTTTACACGAACAACGAGCGTAAAGAGCGAAAATTAAAAAGTTTGAATCGCGCAGCTGCTCCGTTTCCGCTCAGGGTTCTTTGTTTTCACGTAGAGGCTCATGATTCACTGACCTTCGCAGAGAATTCCTTGGCCTTCGACGCATTGTCTGTGCTTGCCGATTAAAGTGCGGGAAGATCATATGCGCTCTCATATCGAGAGAATGTTTGCACGCGCGGAACGTAACATTAACCTCTGTTAATATACACACACACGTAATTGATCGTCGCTGGTTAAACATTTTTTGTACACAGTGTTTAGATCATGAAAGCAAAGCCGAAGTCAAGTGAACTCAGTCTGTTATCTGGTTCGTGAAGATGTTAAAATATCAGCGTATATAAAAAATATCAGTGTATATATAGTTAAGCAAACAAACTGGTTTACCTTCGCTAAAATTTATTGTATTTTTTTTAAATTATTTCTCACGCATTATACGAGTTTCAAACGATTCGTTTTTAATTGGTTTTTAATTGTTCTTGGATTATTAGAGATTGTATTGTAAAACAAAGAAACCATATATTAATCATTAATTTATAATCGCATATTAATGAGTAGAAATACGTTTTACATAATATTTTTTTTGCATATATTGAGAAATCAGACTCGTCCGTTCGAACAGATGCATTTCGAAATCGATCGAGACAATAGCGTCTCACCTTCCGTCTGTACCCCGGCAAGTGGTTCCAATATTAGCGCGGAATCGCCGGATGCACTATTATTGAGACACATTATGTTCGCGCGGTTCATTTTTTTCTCAATTGGCTGTGTCGCGCGACGCATTTGTCATCGTGAGCGGTATCACCTCATTCATCTTATAGTCAAATGCAGCCAAGGACTCGCTCGCGAGTACGTGTGCACCTGCACGCACGACCGTAACGACACGCACCTGCGAGGCGCGCGCAAAACTTCTCCACCGAGAAAAACACAAGAAGTGTCAGTCCGGAAAACAAAAAAAAAAAAAATATCTCGAAAGTATCAATATTTGTGACACCAGTCGTATACAATAAATTTATTGATCCGACGCTGGCAAATATTGAAGAATTGTCAATAGAAGAAGTGACGGAAAGAGACAACTTTGTGTGAACACTATCCAGCGACGTAAATATTCGGGAGCGTTGTCAATAAATATTGACAATATAGATCATATTTGCGCTGCAATGAAATATTATTTTCAGCAAATTTTCTGCGGAGACCGCGCGTCTCACCCGAGATGCATGAATCGAACAAATAAATATTTAATGGCCACACACCTATTTATTAATACACGTACCAACAACAATAGAGCATAATTTGGAATGACGATAAATATTGGATTATTTACGTACTCTTTTATGAACAAGCGCAATATACACGCGCGCGCGCACACAAGCAATCCATTTAAATATCGAAACGTGCACGTTCGCAAAGCCGCAAGATCCTTCCATCGTCATGCAACCGAAGTCCGTGTAAAAACCGTGTCACGATCTATGTAACGATCGTGACACACCTGTGGGCGTAGCTTGCACAGAGAAGGGGAGACATATAAAAAAAGAGACGGATAATCGTGCGGACTAAGCATGTGGAAATGGCAGCTACGTAACTCGAGGTCGGGCGTCCGGTTTTCCGTTTTGTCGAGACGTCAGTCGAGCAAGCGTTATTCGCCTTATCGTTGATACGATGCGCGAGCAAGCATGTGTGTATCATTCTGAGTCATCAGCCGAAGAAAAAAAAAATTTGTCGATCCCGATTAGATTAGATCGGAGTAGCAACCGTTAGTATTGAATAAACCGTTGGTATTTCAGCGAGCGAGAGAACACTGACTGGCGAGCGCGTGCTGGCTCGCGCAAATCGCGCCATTATCGTGCGTCCTGAGACACGTCGGGGACTTTGCCTTGAACGAAGTTTCGACCATATTTAAATCACGCGGTTTCGTAGACCGCACGCGTGGACAGATGCCACGCGGGATGGCGAACCGGTTTATTATTATAGACTCGAGTCTTCACTCTCGCGCAAGCTTCTCTTCCAGGTCATCCGACATAACATACCTTTCGGGTCAACGTTCTGGTAGATAGTCGTCGATGCGCTTTAACAGGTCGCTCTACCATCACACGATTCTCAGACTTATTCACACTGTTCACTCTCTCTCTTTCACGTACACATACACACACACGCGCTTAGATTGGATCTACGAATTTACGTGTTCGTATACTTGTCATCAGGTTCTTGGAAGAGAGAGAGCAAACGTGGAGAGCACGACGTTTCGCTGCGCCGCGCGGACTCGCGGCGAGTCCGCTCGCACTCGGACTCGGGCACAATACTAACAGTTGCCGACTCGTGTGATTACGAGCGAAGCCTGGAGAACGGGGCAACTCTTCTGTGTTGCCTGGCCGCCCGGTTAGCGATACACGCTCCGCTCCGTGCACTCTTGTGCTTCATTCGTCGTTCTCGTACTTTTCTCACTCGCACGCTTGATCTTCCGCCTCGCTCGCTCGCGTGTTTCTCTCCCCTCTCTTGTCACTCTTTGAATCGCTCTCTTTGTCGCGTTATCTCTCTGTCACGCATTCTCCTCGAGGCCTGTCTGCCGACCTTTCCATCTTTTGCTTTCCACTTAGTTTCATCTCTTTCTCGCCCGCAGGTTTTGTCTAACCGCATCTACATATGTGTGCGTGCTTGTGTCATCTTCTCGATTTCACAATATCGTTCCCCGAGTCCGAGAACTGTTTCGTTCAAGCCGAGTCCTGCAGGCATCAACATGGTCCCTCGCGTTTAACGCTGGCGAATATGTACGCTAATCACCGTGGTAACTTCGTTAACCAACTTGTCTGGGGCAATTTCGGAGCACCGCGCGCGATACACCTTATCAATCTCTCCGGCCCGACCGACGTAAACGCCTCGCGCTACGCGCGCGCTGTTAGTTAATTGTTCGCGCTGTAATCTCACAACGATGCCGTAAAATTAGCAATTAAGCGCGCGGTAACCGTTTCCCGGAAAAATCGCTTTCGTTCGTCTTTAACGAGCTCTATGCGAGTGCTTCTCTCGCGATACATATATATCACACACACACACACATACACAACTATAACGCGAGATTCTCTCGCTCTGAATTACATTCCACGGGCGATTTAAAACGGTTTGATAAGATCTCGCGCAACGATCCGAGTGCCGTGGTTATTCGTTTTTTTTTTTTTTTGTTTTTTTTGTTTTTTTTACGTGAGGTTTTAATGGCATGGATCTCTTGTAAGAAATCGACTCTTTTCTTCGTCGGGAGAAACTTCACCGGAAACTTGTAATTAAAAGATGGTATTTACCGTGGCCAAAGTCAAGAAATCCTCGGTTTCGAAATTGGATATAGATAACAGAAATTTATCTCGAGCTTAATTGAAAGCGGACGCTATTCAAATAGAAGTTTTATTTCGCGTTATATCTAGTATATAGTATAACGCGTCGGTGCGCGCGGTGCTGAATATTTTCTGAAAACTGGTAAATTCGCACTGACGCGCCGTCAGTTTTTTTTTCGTCAAGGAAAAAAATGAAATCCAGAGACCGTATTTGTTTTCAAAATTTTCGCGTGTCGTAATTTTGACACACGTCAATTTTGATAATCGGAGTTTGTTTGCGCGTTTTTTTTTTTTTGTTTTTTGTTTTTTTATCTCGTATATATATCATTTTTAAATACATATATATGTACAACGCACAAAGTCGCATTTTAATACACAATTAAGATAGACAAGAAATAAAAAGCGACGGCAAACCTAGTTTATTGGCTTTTTTTATTTATAAAACATTTCCGCGCGCTTCTCTAAGCGGCAATGCGTTGTAATGCCGTTGTGCGTTTGAGTGTGTGCACAGTTATTCAGCGGCTCACTGGCAGCGGCTGAAATTCAGGCGCACAGTGTGTGTCTGAATCCCCGCGTTTCCCTTTCGTCTAATATCGCTTAAACGAGGCCGTCGAGTGCATTTCAGCAAAGCGTTCCGGCGAGCGGTCTCTTTGCGCGCTAATAAAACATTACAGGGATCTGGCCGCTCGAACTCGTAAGAAATAGACTGTAGTTGTCGTCGTCGTCGTCGTCGTCGTCGTCGTCGTCGTCGTATGTGCGCTGGCCGAGCAAAGCCTCTGAGCGCCGACACGCGGAATTGTCCGCGCAAAAACGACCAGACGTCCCCGTGAATATTTCAAGGACGCGCTTTTCGGATGAAACCGACGTAATTAGACCGCGCTGGTTAATCCCGCGAATAAATTTATTGAACAACTGATTATCTTTGTATGTACTTGCTGGAACAAGAAAAACAGTATCGGAATTTCTGAGAATAAAAACAAATTTTCTGAAGAAACAATTTTTGTTAATTAGACGAGATTTGCACGGCGGGCAATTCAACGATTTCACGACAAATAAAATAAAAAGCAGTGTGTCATGTAACAATAATATTAATATCTACTGTGAGTAATAATACTGTGAAGTAATAACGTAAGTTATTAAGTTCGAGTAAAACACACATGTACGAAACATAGTTGAGCGCCTGGTCGTCATAGTTTTTATCGGTTTTTACCCCTTTACATCGAACCTGATTACCTCAACAGCGTCTCTCGACCGCTTCTCTTCCCGTTCCCGTTAGACAATACCGGCAGCGATGCTCGCTGAAAAATAGCGGTCGTTGCACCGTGAATTTTTTATATGACGAAGTCCGCACGCGACATGTTGGGCGATGCGTTTACGGATAACTCGTTACATGTACCGAGCGCACTGAATAATAGCAGAGGGACGCA